AGCATATATTACTTTTCCAATAAATCTTTATTTTAAGAAAAGATAATAATAAGTTTGGGGGTTCAACACAAACCTACTAAATTAAATTTTCCAGGAGCCTTCAATCTACGTTCAAAATCTTCCTTCACAATTTGAACAATAGGTCAGGTTCTGGAGTCACTGAGTTAGGAGACTATTTCAGCAATATAAACGAAAAATGAGGGTATCCAATCAATGCAATGCCAATAAAAGTGGAAATAGATGGAGAGATTAGAAAGGTCCTTATCTATTTTACAGAAACTGACAGAAGTGCTCATTAACACATTCATTAAGTAAATATTAACTTAAATATCCTGTACCAATAATAAATAGTATGAGTGAGCATAATGGGCCTTCAGTTGGCCTAACGAAGTAAAGTGAGTTATTGACGTTGCACTTAGCAATGCAGGTTCAGGAATGAATGGGCTCGTCATTTGTTACACCTGGCAGGGACCTGAGACATTACTCACTTAATTTTATAACTAAATAAAGGAAAGTTTAATTTTTCCCCTCATCTTAAAGTTATAGAAGTCCTTATTTAGAAATATAATCCTGAAACTTTATTCCCTACAAAATTACTGTGTAACTTTTCTACCTTCAGGTAGTTTCTTCCTCAAGCTTCTAAATGAGCACATATGTTATAATCTGGGAAATATCCCAACATGCCGAACCCACTGGCATAGAGCTGACACTTACGCAAAATGACTTTTCTTTCCTTCCTACTGGCTTCACGTACAAGAAATTGAACAAAGCTGCAGTCTGCAACAACTCAGACGGATGTTGTCTCCGAGACGCCCAGCCCATCTTCTAGGCCTAATGGAAAGACAGGAACAGAGCCACTGTAGCACAATTATTTCCTTCACAACCACATCGTTAGCCAAGACAAGAAAACATGGTGTAAATAGCAACATCGAGATTCTTGTATATCAAGAATTCCCAGGGCTCTCTTTGTCTGCTGTCGTGCCCTGACACCAGGATCATAATTATCCAGCTCTGGAGATTAGCTGGCTATGATCCTCAAGTCTAGTTTATGGTTTCTTTTGAAATACTGATCCCATCCTTTCAGGAGACAACGCTAATAAGGAAACTCACAGTACTGAATCCTGGGTGGAGTTTGAGATTCTTCCAGATTGCATATTTTACTCTAGCATGTAGATGAGTTGGTACCCACAGACAAAAGGGAAAACATGGTGGCCTTCATCAATCAGCCTCTGTGGCTGGAAGAGATCACCACACAAACCAGGAATTGAATGTGATAACTAGGAAGACCTAGATTAGTGGGTGAAATAGTGGTCCCCCTAAAGACACAGCCACCTGGAGCATCAGGATGGGACCTGATTTGGAATAAGAGCCTTTGTAGATGCAATTAAGTTAAAGATCTCAAGACGAAATCATCCTGGATTTAGAGCAGCCCCAAATCCAATGACTAGTCTCCTTATAAGAGAAAGGAGAGAGAGATTTGACACGTGGAGAGACACAGGTGGAAAGCCATGTGAAGACAGAGGCAGAGATTGGAGTGATGTAGCTACAAGCCAGAGTGCCAAGGATTGCCAGCCATACTAGAAGCCAAGAGAGGCACACAGCTGATTCTCCCTCAGAGTCTCCGGGGAACCAGTCCTGAACAACACCTTGATTTTGGACTTCTGACCTCCAGAACCGTGAGACAAGAAATTTCTGGTTTTTTAAGCCGCCAAATTTGTGAGGATTTGTTATATGGCAACCCTAGGAAACTAATACACCCTCTCAGAGCTATTCTAAACCTGCTCTGGATAGAGGCACTGAAAGCTTCTAAGGTGGCTCTGCCGATTTTGTGATGCACACAACAGGTCATATCTCAAAGGCCCTACTGGCAGAGTACAGATGACAATATTACTTTTAAACTTCAAAGTATGGTTATACACAGCTGATTAATCTCCACAGCACTCTTGGGTCAACCAGATGAATGTCATTAATGCACTTCGGAGTACAGGAGATAAGCCCCTTGCCTAACGCCATCAAAGGAGTTCTTGAAAGATGGCTTCAGAACAGACTCTCCTTAAAGTAAATATGACAGGAAGGTAAAACACTGATGGTCAGGAGGGGTACAAAAGGAATTGGAAAGCAGAAGATTTGCTAAACAAATATTCTAGAAGGCCTTATTACCAAATATATATATATAATAAAATATAAAAACTATATAAGATTCATGTTGCAGTCTTCCTTGAAAGACAAATTTTAAAACCTTAGCTTTTGCTACCATCAGCCAATTTCTTGTTACCTTGTTGTGAAACAAAAGTTTCCCTGAGAAATGTGACTGACCCATCAGACTTGCCTAAGGGGCCTCCCACTCCTTCTGAGAATAGGCATGTCTCAGCCATAATGTACAGGAAAGATTTAGGAGGTTTAAGTGTGCTGTGGTGCCATAACAGTGAACAAAACTATAATATTCAGAACAAGGGAAGTGATGGTTGTGCTCTACCATGCCATAATCAGACCACATCTGGAAAGACTGCATTGCTTACAGCATAAAAATTTAGGGACTTTTTTACATAAAAAGAGCCTAGCGAGGAGCCGGCCCAGTGGCATATCAGTTAAGTGTGCGGGCTCCACTTTGGCGGCCTGGGGTTCACAGGTTCAGATCCTGGGCGCGGACCATTGCACCGCTTGTCAAGCCATGCTGTGGTGGTGTCCCATATAAAGTAGAGGAAGATGGGCACGGATGTTAGCCCATGGCCAATCTTCCTCAGCAAAAAGAGGAGGATTGGCAATGGATGTTAGCTCAGGGCTGATCTTCCTCACAAAAAAAAAAAAAAAAGGAGTCTAGCGAGAGGTGGAGGGATCAAGATTTTCAAAACCAGCAACTCTTGAATCTTGAGGGGGTTTAAATCTGGCTATTACCAAATATCTGAAGAAATGTAATGTGAAAGAGGATTAGACTTACTCAATAGGTAGAAATAACATTTTAGCTTCATATTAAGAAACGTTTTTGGAAAAGCAGAGCTGTCCAAAGAGAAGACCAGCATCTTTAACAAGTAGTGGCCCTCCCACCCCGGGGCGTCTACAAGCATCGGCGGGGGAGTTACTTCGTGAGGGTGCTGTAGATGTGTAAGCTTCCTTCTAATTCCAACATAAATCAAATCTGTGGTTCTTCTCGCTTGTAATTTAAATACTTCCCAGGTCTCCAGAATCCGAAGTTCTGATGTCGAACCTGCAAAACGCAAATGACCGCTATGGAACGAAAGCCCAGGAATTGTTTTGCCACCTACTGTGTTGATGTGTCTGTCCCGCTAACTTGCATATGTAATTGTCTAAGTTTGAATAATGTTTCACAATATTATTCACAACGCTAGAAGGGGATGGAGCACGAAGAGCTGGGAGGGATTGTCCTTACTGAGTAAGAATAGGGTATCTAAGTTGGCTGAGGAAATCAGGGTTCCAAAGAGAAATAGAACAAATTGGATATATGCTCACATAGAGAGAGAGAGAGATTTATTTTAAGGAATTGGCTCACACAATCACGGAGGCTGGCAAGTACAAAATCTGCAATGTGGGCTGGCGGTCAGGAGAGTCAATGTTGCAGTTCAAGTCCAAAGACCACCTGCTGACAGATTTCCTTCCTGCTCCAAGGAAGTCAGTCTTTCCATTAAAGCCTTCCGCTGATTGCATGAGGTCCACCCATGTTATGGAAGGCAACCTGCTTTACTCAAAGCCCATTGACTTAAATGTCAACCTCATCAAAAAAGCACCCTCATAGAAACATCCAAAATAACATTTGACCAAATATCTGGGCAGTGTGGCCTCACTAGGTTGACACACGAAACTAGTCCTCACACCAAGGGTTGGCTCCTCATACCTGACGAGTCCTTCGACATATGTGGATACCACCTCTGAGGGGTGAAGGCAGATGGGGAGCAGAGTTGGCTAACAAAGGTCGCTGAACATCTTCCCATGTTGCCTCTGTGCTTTCTGAAAGGACTTCTTTAAATTCAGATCCTTTAGAACACTAAGCTAAGTAGACAAATTTTTTATATTGCGTGATACTGAGTGAGTGCTACTCCTGGGATAAATCCACTTAGCCATCTATTACACTTGACACACACTTTACACAACTACATAGTTATAGATAGGTCACATTTTAATCAACTGAAGACATAGTAAAGTCGTTCTTCTAAGGCACCCTAGAATTGAAAGGAAGGAGCATAAAGGAAAATAACCTAAAAACTCATGTTTCTAAAATGGCTTTTAGGTTGAAAAAATACTACTAGTAGGGAAAAGGTAACAAGACAAATGGGGTTATTCTTTTATCTTCAAATCAGTACCAAAAGAAGGACTCAGGAAAGATGAAGAGAATGCTTTTTAATTTTTTCTTTTCTTTTTTTTTTTTGTGAGGAAGATCAGCCCTGAGTCCGTGCCAATCCTCCTCTTTTTGCTGAGGAAGACTGGCTCTGAGCTAACATCTATTGCCAATCCTCCTCTTTTTTTCCCCAAAGCCCCAGTAGATAGTTGTATGTCATAGTTGCACATCCTTCTAGTTGCCGTATGTGGGACGCCGCCTCAGCATGGCTGGACGAGCGGTGCATCGGTGCACACCCGGGATCCGAACCCGGACCGCCAGCAGTGGAGCACGCGCATTTAATCACTAAGCCACGGGGCCAGCCCCCTGCTTTTTTATTTTTAATTGTTCACTTTTATTACAAGATCACTATAAATTCAGTGGAGAAGGGGCGAGGTGCACAAAAACCTAGAAGAGTGGGAGAGACATCATTGATATATCCAGCAATGCAAACCAAGACTCAAGCTTTTTGCCAAAAAAAACAGAGCTTCGGTTACACATAACAATTTCTGTGTGATTTTTAAAGTTAGGTATTGTCCTGGGCACTTTTTTATACATTATCTCATTCAAGAAAGAAAGTTGCCACAAACATTTCATCATTAATGTTCCATCGTGTGCTTAATCTTTATTTGGAATTTGTGTTTTCAGAAGGCTATTTTTTTAACAGCTTCTACTTCAACATCTGTTCATCAGACACATCGGGGTACAAATATTAAATAGCAATTGTAAATAGCACGTCATCTTCTCAAACCAAACCAACCTCCATTGAAAATATATTAAAGATATACAAAACAGAAGTCCACTGAGAATAAAGAGATAGACATAAACGTAATGCATATGTGGAGACTTCACCAAAGGTATCAAAACCATACACAGGTTCATGGCCATTGTTGCCAATGGAAATGGCAAAAACACCTGAAAAGAGCAAAATTCAAAAAAAAATTAGATATGAAAACCTTTATAAGGTGCCTGCATATTTATATAAACAAAAAATCAGCTATAAGTTAATGATAGAAAATGGGCTCAATTATCTGTGAGTTTAGATAAACCTAGCTTAGGCGTTAGGATGTCAAAGACTCTCATTGTCAGAGTATTCTTTGAAGGGAATGAACATCTAGCATTTGACTGTTCATAAGTGGAAATAATCATGACCATTTACTAGTTAGATAACCATCTCTGGTCTAGGTGGCATGAATTTGTTAAGAGGGAGTTCCTAAGGTTCAAAGGAAGTCACAACAATTTTCCCAGGAAAATATCTCAAGGCAGTAAGAAATTCATGTCAAAAACACAGAGAATCCTCAGACCCTCTGTTACTCAGGCAGATACTGACAGGTAAATATTATGACTTTATAGGCTTAGTATATTAAAAACAAAACAAATCAAAACAAAAACTTTGACCAAAACAATTCTCCCTATTTTGGGTGGGTTTTTTTGTTTTTGTTCTTGCCAAAACCCTTGAAGCCCTATCCTTGGTACCTGTTTTGTATTAGGATTGTAAACATCTTGCACCAAACACTACCCAACCTAGGGAGAAAATTCAGTAGGTGGTCACTTTAGAAATGTCTTTAAGAGATAGATACCAATGTATACCTGGAAAGTAAAATATACCTGGTCACATTTATGAAACTCTTAATTAGAGGGTCATTCCTTTGGGGTTTAAATCATTAAGAATCACCTCTTAACTTGTAAAACAACCCCAAGAAAGATAACATCATCTCACAGCTCAGCATCAGTTATCAAATAATTGAGATAGCAGAAAAGAGCACTTATGGGGCATTCAAGACAAATTCAACAACTTACACTTATGGTTGCCCTTGCCTATCTTTTTTTTTTTTTTTTTTTTGCGAGGAGGACTAGCCTTGAGCTAACATCCGATGCTAATCCTCCCCTTTTTTCTTGAGGAAGACTGGCCCTGGGCTAACATCCATGCCCATCTTCCTCTACTTTATATGCGACACCGCCACAGCATGGCCTAACAAGCGGTGTGTTGGTGCGCGCCCAGGATCCAAACCTGCGAAACCCGGGCCGCCGCAGCGGAGCACACGCACTTAACCGCTGCGCCACCGGGCCGGCCCCACCCTTGCCTTCCTTTTTGATTGTCGAGGTATCTCAAACAACAATATAAACAATAATAACTATCAATGTCAATCTCTGGATTATTTGCATGCCTTAGCTCATTTAATACATCCCACATTCCTAGGAGGTAGACATTATTTATTCCCATTTTAGATCTGAAGAAACTGAGATTCAGAGGTCAAATAACAAGATGATTCCCCCTCCCCTATGTGTTCCCTGAGCATCCTCTGGAGGCCGCCTTGTGGCAAGGATCTTACGATGGCTGTTGGTTCACCAGATACATTATGCCCTGCCTAAAGGCAAGAGCTAAGCCTTATTCCTTTGTGTACCCACAACACCTAGCAAGGTACTTAAAATATAGTTGCTTCTCACTGACTGATACCCAAATACACAACAGTTGGGGGATGGCTGGATGGAAGAAGGGAGGACTGAAATGGAAGGGTGGTTGTAAGTCAACCGAAGTTGATGATTAGAGCATTGCTTTCTTTCTCCCAGTGTTCTTTCTTATATTTTGTACGTCCTGAGAGGCAAACACTCCAAAGAGACTTGAATCTTGGCTCTACTCCATGCTGTGTGAGCTTGGGCAAGTGACTTAACTTTTCTAAACCTGTTTCCTCATCTGTAAAATGAGGACAGAATTAGTATTTGCCTTTTGTATTACCAAGAGGATGTGATAATCCAAGCAAAGCTCTTAACGTGATGCCTATCCAACCAAGACTATTTTACTATTCTGATGATCAGAGCAGCAGGACCACCCTTTCTCCAATAGTACCCTTATGCTGCCAAGTTTTCGCTACTTCCTTTTCTACGATTAAAGGGCTGTCCTGTAAAACTCTTCCTCATCCAGACCGAAAGTAAGTTTAAAAGTAAGTACTGCTGAAAAGATGAAATTTGTCAGTGATCAAATTAAGTTGATGTTCCAGAACGAGAGATATTATCACTGTGACCCCATGGCAGTACTTGTGTCTTCTGTTTCCCACCTGCTAAATCTGATCCTGACTGCGGAAGATGCTGGTGTGCATGAGGAGCTACATAAGTAAAGTAATCTCTGGTCAAAAGACTTGTAATGATCTGCCCAACCACCCAGAGGACAACCCTTCTCTCTAATACACCTAATGGAACCTAAGAGATTTTATACTGAGTGAAGTCTACCCAATAAAATGAAAACTAAGACCAGATTATCTTTACATGTTTCATAATTTGTTAGTAGTAAAAAGATCTACTTATAGATGTTCTGAATATAATCTTCAAATACGGCTACACCCAGGATCTTTTATTTCACACAGAAAAAATTAGAAAACTCGCTTTTTACCTTATAAGGTCTGGGTAGATTGGGCTCCCGGTATCTCAGTTTCAGTAGTCCTACCATTGATAACACAGACCAAATAGAAATTGCAAAATAAAGATAGTTTATCAAATCAATTAGGTTTGTCGAGACAACCACAACAGACGCCATAGCGATAAGTAGTAGCACAGATATAAATGGAGAGGAGTGAATATTGAGCATATTAAATAACAAAGGCAGCTGGCCCTCTCGGCCCACAATATATGTCATTCTTGATGACTGAAATATATTCACCAGAACGTTGCTAAATAATGAGGCAGAAATAGCAAAAGGGATAACCCATGTCAACGAGGGGACAACTCTGTCAGACCACGTGATAACCACAGCATCTGCAAAAAAACAAACACACAGAAAGGAAATGTATTAAAAAGAGAAACTAAGGGTAAACCTCTAAAAATTATTTCAAAACCAAAGCAGGCAATTTAAAGTGATTAAGAAAATTGAATTTTGTTTAGTGTCACTATTTCCTTATTTTGTACTTATATAACACCATTTGCAGGTGTGCATTTTAACCCTATCACACTGTATCATAAATGGTTATCGTCTTATGTGTCTTCCCCAATAGACCCCAAGGAACTTCCTTTCTTTTTTTTTTTTTTTAAAGCTCAAGTGCTTTTTTCTTTTTGAGGAAGATTGGCCCTGCCCTAACTTCTGTTGCCAATCTTCCTCCTTCTCTTTTTTCTACCAAAGCCCCAGTACACAGTTGTGTATCACACTTGTAGAGTTGTAGCTCTTCTAGGTGGGATGCTGCCACAGCATGGCTTGATGAGCGGTGAGTAGGTCCGCACCCAGGATCCGAACTGGCGAACCCTAGGCTACCAAAGTGGAACGTGCTAACTTAACGGCCATGCCACTGGGCCGGCCCCAGAACTTCCCTTCTTAAGGGCAAGGCTCATTCATTTCTTTTCTGTAAAACCAGTGCTTCACTCAGTGACAGACACAGTAAGTTTTCAATAATGCTTGTGAAATGAATGGATTCTGCTGAGTGGATGATTGAACGCGTGCTTGTTTTCTAAAGCTAGTTTACAGACTGCTGATAGTCAGAGTCAGAGACAAAAAAGCCCAGTGCGACACTGCTGACCTGGGACTGAGACTTACAAAGGCCCCATATCATGGGGCAATTTGAAATACTCGACAGAAATAAAAATGAACCATGTAGACAGAGAAAATAAGATATGCAGATTAAAATACTTACGACATTTGGGCCCCTGTCTGAACTATAGACCCGTGGTTCTCAACTGGAGGTGATTTTGCTCCTGAGGGGTCATTTGCCAATATCTGGAGACATTTTTGTTTGTCACAACTGGGGAAGTAGGAGGTTGCTATTGGCATCTAGTGGGTAGAGGCCAAGGATGCTGCTAAACATCCTACAGTGCACAGGACATGCCCCCACCACAAAGAATTATAAGGTCCAAAATGTCTAGTGCTGAGATTGGGAAACCCTGCTATTGGCCAATCTTTGGAGAATATTCTGATTTTTTTACTTAAAGGTGCAGAGACCTCCTGAACACTAATTCAACATGTCAGTAGATAGAAAAGGCACCAATGAAGAAAAGCATCCATTGCTTATGAGAGTCTGAGTCCAATTCATATTATGCAGCTATAAGCTAGGGCAGATCGTTCAGACACAGAGAAGTAAGTTCTCAGTTTTTCAATGAAAAGAGCACAGCAAGATCTAGCATCCCGGGGGGTAGGCGTCCTCTGGGGTCATGCTGGTGTCAAGGTTGGTTTCCAGGGGAGCCTCCAGGATGTCAACATACTGGCTTATAACAAATAGCAAAACTTTTTCCTACAACAAAATGAAAATACCATCAATCGTTCTTGTTCTTAAAGATTTTTCTTTTTCCTTTTTTTTTTTTTTTTGTGAGGAAGATCAGCCCTGAGCTAACATCTGCCAATCCTCCTCTTTTCCCTGAGGAAGACTGACCCTGGGCTAACATCCGTGCCCATCTTCCTCTACTTTATATGGGACGCCTCCACAGCATGGCTTGCCAAGCGGTGCGTCGGTGCGCGCCCAGGATCCCAATCCGCCCAGGCCACCGCAGCGGAGCATGCGCACTTAACCGCTTGCGCCACCAGGCTGGCCCCAGGATTTTTCTTTTTGAATCCATTTTAAAGATTTTATTTATTTTTATTTTTTCCCCCCAAAGCCCCAGTAGATAGTTGTGTGTCATAGCTGCACATCCTTCTAGTTGCTGTATGTGGGACGCGGCCTCAGCATGGCCGGAGAAGCAGCGCGTCGGTGCGAGCCCGGGATCCGAACCCGGGTCGCCAGCAGTGGAGCGCGCTCACTCAACCACCAAGCCACGGGGCCGGCCCCTGAATCCATTTTAAATAACCTAAAGTGCTATTTTCACTTCTCCCTTGAGTGATATTCTACAACATTTTGGTCTTGTTTGAAAATATCTCCTGTCTCACTTATTGTTCATCTCAAGTAAGGTAGTGTTGGCTGTCCCTCCTAGATACCCCTGCCGCCACACATTTTGCATTTTGAGATGCATTTCAGAAATCCCTCTCATTCTCTGGCTTCCCGTCATGCATTCTGCAAACGTGGTTGGTTATAATTAGAGGAGATTCTAGTTGGCTGTGCTATATAATCTTTATCTCTATCCCACAAGTGATTTCTTATTTATTCCTTTCCGTATGTCATTTCTTTTCTTCTAAAAATTATATTATATATGCTTTTGGTAAAAAGCAAAATTAACAGCACTGAAACACATGAAGTAAAAAGTAAATTTCCCTCTCCTCATCAATCCCTCATTCACGCACGCCAGATGTAACTACTGTTAACATCTTTTTGAATATTCTTCCAGAAATTTTCTATGCATATATAAGCATCTGTGAGGGGTATGCATTTGTGTACAGGTGTGTGTTTGTGTGTGTGTGTGCTTAGGCTTCCTTTTTCCCCTTCCAACACATCTTGATCATTTTAGTACATATGCATCCATCTAATTATTTTCATGAATTCTCAGCATTCCATTATATCACAGTAAATTAAATTATTTACCAATTTTATATTGGTAGATTTTAGGTTGTTTTCAAATTTTTGCTAATATAAAATGTGCTTAAATGAGCAGGCTTGTGCCTTCAAGACTTGGGAGCTGTGGTTCTCCTCCTAGAGTAAAATCTTAGAAGTGGGACTTCTGAGTCAAAGGTATATATTTGGTGATGTATTATTAAGTTGCCCTCCAAAAATAATGGAACCAATTTACCAGAAAGTGATTCTAACATTTTCACTTTCTTCTCAAAATTCTTAACCACACCTGGTGGGCCAGCTGCCTGCAGGCTGCTTCTGGTCAGGGAAACCTTCTTAGCCTCTGATCCCATGCAACTTATCTACTGTTTTAGATTATCTTTTCCTATGCCAATATTCCCTAGTTTTACATATAACATGGAACCCTCAAGAACATCCAATGTGAGCACGGCTGTCAGCAGTGTGTTATCCAGGCTTCCTCAGGCTGAAAAAGCCGGGAACCAGGGCTCCTCCTTATGACATCTCCACACATCTCATTCTAGAGGGACAACGCTCTCCACTCAGTTGTAGAGCTGATTCTAAATGAAGGCTATTTTTTTCTACTAAGAGAACAATCAGCGAGGAAACAAGTCAGAGAGATGACACTGACACAAACAAAAACATTACAAGACTAATATCATTGGTACATTTTCTCTGTAAACCGTAGACTCTAATATGTATCACAGCGTGGTATAAGTTTTTTCATTGTTCACCAAAAAAAATGTAGCACAATTTACGCTGCATCCCAGATACTCTATATTCCTTTGGAAACTTTTCACGTCTTTTAAATACACCCAATTGACTGAAAACATTCACTCCTTAATCCTCAAACTTCCCTGATTTAATAATCTATTTCTTTTGCTTATAACTTTTTTCTCCTATTATATAAACTGTGCAGTTCATTAAAGAAAATTTGGAAAATTCAGTAAAGAATAAAGCAACAGTCCCTCACAGTATCATTCTGGCAGATGTCCATTATTAACTATTTACTTTCTGTTTCATATAATGTAGATCCTGCCTTTTCCCTCATTATTACGTTATAAACATCATCCTTTTACTTTAAGCATTCATCAACAATATGATCTTTGGAAAAGCTCAGAATGCTCTATTATATGGATTTCCATACATTATTTATTTCAGACTTATTGGATATTTTGGTCATCTTTAATATTTTGCTCTCATATGTAACACTGTGATGGTTGTCCCTATACATACATTTTCCATGTGTAGCTCTGATTATTTTCTTAATTTAAATTCCTAATACAATAAAAGGTAGATATTTGAATTCAAAAACACTATTTCAGAATTTAAACAAGGTCTAAGGATTATCTGCCTAAAAGGGAAAGCACTGTAAACCGAATTAGAAGGGATTATAGTCAAAACACTTCATGAGTCTTCCACATGTGTCAAAACTACTATGCCACCCACAAAATTGTGGCAACTATTATGACACAGCAGAGGAGATATTAGTAATTTTTTAACAACCAGTATGGCCAGAGCACTGGCAATCATGACAGATGCCAGCTTCAACGAACCACAACGGCCAGGCCTTCTGACCAAGAGATCTGACCACACTCATAATTAACTTTGTAAATTTATTCTCTACATGGTCAAAGTAGTTAATAAATCACTGCTTGTTCTTATCCAATTTGGTTTGTTCCCACAAATACTCAGAATCTTGGTGATATCTATTTACAGGTCCCTAAGAGAGCCAGAGCATCAAGAGTAAACTCTGATACCACGTGTGTGGTACCTTCCTGCATGGCAGTAACACGAGAATTGAGACAAAATGTGTAAGGACCCTCCTACCTTTATACCTCCAATGCCTCGAAGATTCACCAAAACAGTCATAACTACACAAAAGAGATTAGTCCTAACGGTACCGGCTGACAGGTTTACCCAGTGAGGTGATGACTCAAGGTTTAATGCCGGTTTGAGGAAATTGCTGGACTTCCACATACCCTGTTCCTTATTTCTTTCCAAATTTCTTTTTATTCCTTGAATCTGTTACTCATTTTTTAATGTATGTTTATTTCTTTAAGATTTTCTTATTCTTTCATTCTTTATTCTATCATTAGGGCCCTAAAATACTTATCTTTTAGTCAGATTTCCAATATGCCCAGAGCTCTTTGCTCCCGTAAATTTTAAAGTTATTTATGGTAAACAACATTATATTACATAATAATAATATTAATTATATGCATCAACTGACCATTAGCATCTACTCTTCTAACTGCTAATATCCTACATTTCATGTTTATCACTATGTCACCCAGAAGAATATTTGGAAAATCAACGCTGTGAAAATTGTAGTAGATATAAGCACTGATTACCTAGTGTCACTCTGGTGAGAACAGATCATGAAAGGAATACTAATATTTTGAACCCAGTCTGCACCATACATCAGCATTACATATACTTTTCCATATTATCAGAAACTCTTTTCTAAGCCCAATCATGCACTTTGACCCCTCTGTTATTTTCAAAAATTATAAGTTGACTCTACATACAAATTAATGAAAAGCAGACAGCAGTCTTGACTGGTAAAGTAATACTTACGTATGCTAAAAGGAGCAGAACGGTCGTTATTATTATTTATTACCTTAGTCATTTGTGTACAAACCTGAAGAGAGGATTTCCCTGGGTGTCAGAACAGTCAGGTAGGAAATGTTAACCAGTAAACAAAGGACAGTCACCAAAGCTAGTGCAGTAAAGATGAATCTTGGAATTGTCTCTCTGGGTTTCTTCACCTCCCCTATAAGACAGAAAAGAGCAAAACCACAATTGGTAAAAATTATTTCCTAAGTTTATCTTTAAAATAGCTCCATGTATCAAGTATTGGGCTGGATTCTTCCTATCCACTGCAGCCACCACACACACACACACACACACACGCACACACACGCGCGCGCATGATCATCTGCATTGGTGAACTGCGACACCCCACCTCCTCTCTGAGCTTGGTGCTAAATGAAGAAAGGCGCTGACTGAGTTGGGTAGTGGGGATACCATGGCGAGCAGAAACAAACATGACGCTCACCTCAAGAAGAGGAGCGACATGTTAATCAAATACCCACATAAATAAAAGTTACAACAGTGACTGTGGTAAGCGTCCGTATGAGATGAATTACGGAGAAAACGTATTATGTGACAACTTTATGGTCCCCTTTGCTGTCTGTATTATAGGCACTCTGACCTTTTTCTCAGTTCCTCAAAAAGCTCATGCCCCCTGTTGCCGTAGGGCCCATTCTCTCACGTGGAATATTCTTTCCTTTCCTCCTGGCCTAGTTGAACTTCACTCATCCTTCTGCTCTCAGCAAAATCATAACTTCTGGGAAAACAGGGGAGGAAACTTTCCCTGGCCAGCAAAATTGTCCTGTTATACATTCCCACAGCATATATGGAAAGAGTAAAAGAGTCAGTCATAAATTCTCTCTCCCTATAGGCTCTTTTCCTTCCCTTAATGCCAATATTAAGTGCAAAAAAGGAGCTCATGACTTAGCAGCATATATAATGCACTTTCCAGGATAGTCTTATTCTCAAATATTGTCCCATTTGTCACACCATTTTCCCCAATTTTGCCCTTCTCTGAGAATTATCCCTGACATAAAGAATTGAACATCATAGCTATGTGTACACCATGTGACCCTGTGTGCTGGCCACTGGTAATAGAATCATGTAAAGATCTCTGACTCCCTGGAAGCCAATCAGGGCCAGTATAAAAGATTTCTCTCAAGAATTTGAACCAAATGTCGACAAAACTGAGAGGATCAGGAAAAAGGCAACGCAACGTTGGCTAAAAAGAAAGGCAGCCGAGAAGTCTAAGTTTGTAAGTCGCAGAGCTTCCTTAATTCCCATTGTTCTTGAAGATTGGTTACTCAGGTCCTCCTTGAATTACAGCATTATTCTTCCAGTAAGTTCCCCTTCTATTGTTTTAGCTAATGTGTGTGGGTTTCTGTTACTTAAAGCCAAATTCCTTTGACTAATAAATATCTGTCCTTTTACACATGTCAAATTTCTTCCATCTGCCTCTGCCCCGGGGTTGAATGTAATGTCCATGGCATACACTAATATGAGCTGTTTAAGCACTTGAAGAGCAAAGAATTTTAAAAACTCTCATTTAAACACTGCCTGCACCACTTACTAGTTGTGGGCTTCTGGAGAATTTATTGACTGCCAAAGTTTCAATTTCCTTACCCATGTATTGGGGTAAATGAAAAACATAGACACAATAAAATTTCAATCAAATGCCTAGCACTTAATAAGTTATTAATGACTATGATTATTAGTTAAAGCTTTTAAACAAGGAAAAAGGCAACTTTTAGGATTAACTATACTTTCCTCTGGGCCTTTTACTTTTTCTCATTATGTATTAGATTTATAGAGGGAGGTAAGGAATATAATGTAACATAACATAACATAATTTAAGGTTATAATGGCCAGACAGGTAATGAATAGCCTTGGTCTTGAACTCAGAAGATGGATGTTCCTACAACACACACAGTCAGCTGCCTACAAATTACCATTTTACAGATATAAGTGTTACTTAGAACTCAGCCATACTTAAAAAGTATTAAGTAAATTAATATTCCCAGCATACACTGAAATTCCCCCAGCTGTTGTTTACTGCCAGCTGCTTGTGAAGAATTCTACAATTGTTTGTAGGTTAGTAAATTTCAGAAATCTGTTTTCAGCAGAGAAAAATTATCTAGCAATGAAACATCTTTAGCAATGAAACAAATGAAATTGGCTCAAATAGAAACCAGAAATACCTCTTCTATCCTTGAAAGAGAGAGAGGCAAAGTGAGAGAGAGAGAAACAGAAAGCTTTGTTAATTGTGCTAACCTCCCAAATTGCAGTGACCCACTTAATCGCAAACTTCATAAAAGAGTAATCTCCTCTCATAGCTTTCTTTTCTCTAGACCCTACTTTTTAACTCAGTGCAAACTGACTTTCCTCTCAGACTGAAAAGTTCCCAATAACCTCTTAGTCAATGAGACGGTTTCTGACCGGCCTTCACACTCCCCAACTTCTGAAGCATTTCACCAGGTTGATTACAACCTCTTTTTGGAACATATGGTGATTTTTTAAAAATAATTCTCTAAACGTCCACTGGCTTCTCCTTTTTGAGGAAGATTGGCCCTGTGCTAACATCTCTTGCCAATCTTCCTCTTTTTCTTTTTTCTCCCCAAAGCCCCAGTACATGGTTGTGTATCATAGTCGTAGAGTTGTAGTTCCTCCATGTGGGACGCCGCCTCAGCATGGCTTGATGAGAGGTGAGTAGGTCCATGCCCAGGATCCCAACCGGCAAACCCTAGGCTGCCCAAGCGGAGCACGACTTAACCAATATGGGCCGGCCCTTCCACTGGTTTCCTAATTGGGTCTTCTTTCTCCACCTTGTCACCTAAAAGGTGGCATTCTCCAGCCACCAGTCTCTAGTCCTAGGCCATTTTGTTCTACCTCTCTCCACGTACTTGCCTTAGTAGTCACGTCTATTATCAAGCCCATCAAATGGAAACCATTTTGCAGTCACCCAGGATTGCATGCTGGGTCTTATACGCACCTGCACACTTCAGGTCTCCATAGCTTCACTCATATTTTTCTATTTTTGGAATTTTGGGGATTCAATTAAAACTGCCACCTTTTCCACTTGATGACACAGCAAAAGTTGATGTTACCTTCTACTGAATTTCCAGAATGATTATATTGTTCCCTTACAGCCACTTATTAAATACTATCATGCCGTTCTTTGTCTATAAGGCACAGAATTATAGTCATTTTAAGCCATAATGCCCATTTTTCAGATGAAAGAGAAAAAGAAAAGTAAGTCCAGAGAAGTAAAGATACTTGCCAAAGCTGATAAGTGGGAGACGGCCCGACAAAATCTAGGTATTGTCTTTTACACTAGACTGTAAGCCTCTTCAGGGTAAAGAATACATCTTACTCACCTTTTTTGTGTGAGGAAGATCAGCCCGGAGCTAACATCCATGCCAATCCTCCCCTTTTTTTTTTTTTTTTTTTGCTCAGGAAGCCTGGCCCTGGGCTAACACCCGTGCCCATCTTCCTCCATTTTTATATGGGACGCCGCCTCAGCATGGCCTGACAAGCGGTGCATTGGTGTGCACCCAGGATCCAAACCCAGGCCGCCAGCAGCAGAGCACGTGCACCTAACCGCTACACCGCGGGGTGGGCCCCGTCTTACTCATCTTAAGGCACCAATATGCGGTTTTAAAAATAGTCAGTGTTTAAAAAGATATTTGCTGATTGAATGGTTTAATGAGTGATGAACACATCAGTGACGAAAAGGGTCCTAAGATTAAGGGAAAAAATTGTTAAAGCCTAGAGTCTATTTCATGTTTCTATGTCAAGGAAAAGAACTGGTAAAAAAGGTTGAAATTGAGAAAAATGAAATAAATGAATGTGAAAAATTCCCAAGGAGGTGAGAGAGAAAAGATACGGGTAGAGTTCAAGGGAACAGACTGACTTTGAAAATGAAGAGAGAAAACGTTTGTCCTGACAATGAAGGGAATAGCATTAAATCCAGCCTCAGAGCAACCTAGGATATCGATGATCCTCTTCTCTTTAAAAATACTTGAGAGTATTTTTACTCTCAAGTATTTGAGAGTACACCGTGGCGTAGCAGTTAAGTGTGCACACTCCGCTGCTGGCGGCCCGGGTTTGGATCCCGCACCAAGGCACCGCTTGTCAGGCCATGCTGTGGCAGCGTCCCACACAAAGTGGAAGAAGATGGGCACAGATGTTAGCCCAGGGCCAGTCTTCCTCAGCAAAAAGAGGAGGATTGGCATGGATGGTGGCTCAGGGCTGATCTTCCCCACAAAAAGAAGAAAAATACTTGAGAGCCAAGTGTGTTATACCCATGCACAACACAAACACAGTCTAGCATTGGATCATTCCTGGATTCAGTTTCATGGGAGGGAAATATTTCCACAACCCCAGAATTCATCCATTAACAAAAGGAAACTAGATTAACAGGAGGTCCCATATCTGTGGTCTCAGAAGGGAAAGCTGAAAAAGAGAAGTTGTTCAATAAAATAATTATAAAATAGTTACTAAAGAATAAAATTATTCATTTGAATAAATGGAGGGAAAAAATTAAGAGTAGGTGATAAGTGCAAGTCTGGCATATTTTGACCTGATTTAGAAAGCACAAAGAAGAAAACAAAACGTTGAATCATTTCTTTAAAATACAACTCAAAATACAACAAAAGATGTACGTTTCATATTGCATGCAATAGGTCATGGATTGAGATTTTTTGCTCAATGGGTTGTAATTACCTGCTCTCTGTATAATGCATCCCCCGCCTGAATATGCAAAATATCCTTGGAAGACAGCTTCTATATACTGGGAGGCTTCTGGAAATTCAGCATCAAAAGCGTTCTGAAACATTTCTACATTCTCCTTCCTCCCTCTGACTAGCAACACCACTCCACTTAGGGAAATAAGGCCCAGGATGGCCGTTTTCAGCATGGTGCTGGCTGTCTGAAGCCAAGTTATCTCTCTCACGCCGCGAGAATTCAGAATTCCCACAATCCACAATATGGCCAGTGCCAGACATTTCTTTGGCAGATCTGGAGCAGAGCAGCTGGGATAAAAAGGCTGGATGCTATACTCGGCCAGAAGCAGGGCTTGGCTGGCGGTTACTCCTGGCCCCAGATATAAACTTGTCCAGAGTCTCAGGAAACAGATCGAGTTGCCAAAACACCTCTTGAGAAAGTAGAGGTTAGAGCCGCTGCATGGGAAGGTTGTACCTATCTCTGCTGAGCAGAGAGAGGTCATCATGGTCAATAGGGTACAGGCAGCCCAAATACACAGGGACAGCCCCACATTCATGCAAGAGTACTTCAGCACTCCTTTGGGGGCCACTAAAATTCCAGCGCCAATTACGTTACCTAGTACAAAACACGTTCCCCAGAAAGATCCAAACACTCTTTCGAGCTGGATCTTCTTTCTTGTAATTGAAGAATTTCAAAACTTATAATTTCTGGATTTTTCTGCCTATACCACTGAAAAGGATGTTCTTGGATTCTCTGAAATAAAACAGTGTTGTCCTTTTTTTCCCCCTTCGTTAAATATAGGCCATTTTCAATCATTAACAAATATACGAGATGCATCCAAGTAAAATAGTGCAAGATTACTCGGAAAGGTTTAGTTTGACTCATTTTTTAATCATTATCAAAATAATACTTTCAGATGGAAGAAAAGAACTTCAAAAGACAGAGTGTTACAGCGAAAAGGAGGAGTTTTCTGCTCTTTCCCAACCACATTCCCAGTTCTTTTCTCTGGAAACAGCCATTTAAAAACAAGGATGGTTTTAGTTCTTTCTGGTAGCTGCCTTCCCAACTCTGAATAATATGGAAGACTTTCATTCTCAACTCTCTCAACTTTACGGTGAGGGATTAACTCACTTACTATCCCCTCACTTATCTACTCATTCTTCCTCCAGTTTCTTATCATCCAGCTTTCAAGAAACAAAGTATCTATTTTTCATGAGGCTCACGGAAGCCGATTAGCAAGGCAAGGGAGTGAAACAGTCTGCACCATGAGCCTGCCCTTGACCAGCCATTGTCCTGGTACCCTGGGTCACAGGCAGAAAAATGTGGACAGGAAGTACAGAGAAGGCCTTGTCACTGACTAGTGCCCCGAGGAACTCAAGGAGGGGTTTGGAAGCACTTAACTGTTTTTCCAAGTTGTTTTCTATGTTAAGGAGACACAACCAGCCACGACCCTGAGGCCAACCAAGCCTCCCTACAAGAGGTACACCCATGACCTCACCTTATTTTTAACGTGAAGATCTCTTCAGGAGGAGATTAAACCTCATTACCACAATCTGCAGTGTACCCGCCTCTCCCTTTTGAATATTCATTCCCCAACCAAAATAAAAATTCCTGCTTCCCTTTGGGGATGCCATAACTTTGGAAATGATTCCTCATGGCCTCGTATTTGCTGCAAGTACACTTTACTTTGTGAGACAAATTCCACGAGTGTAGAGTCTTATTTACTCACCAGGAGGTGAGCCCACTTGGTTCAGTATCACATTGGCGACCCAGAAGGGACAAACCCCTTCGTGGTGCCTGTGCCGCTGGCTTGACATCGCTGCCCCATCGGGAGACACAGCGGCCTCACTGAGAGCTTTGCTCAGAAGATCTCTCCATGGAGGTGAGTGGCACCAATCCCACAGCACGGCTATAAGAGTTATTTTCTTAAGGTGTCTTACAAACCCTGTCTGTTGGGGCCTGGCTTCAGGGTTTGAGTCCCCACCCCGGAGGCAGCCTGGCTCAGGGGAGTGACAAACAAAAGTCTCCCTCTGTTTGGAAGGATTGCATGACCCGGCCACTCTAGAAGGGTCGATGCTCAGCTCTGGTGAAATGGGAGCAATCCCTGGTGATTAGTCAGGGGTCAAACCCCATCTAGAGATTGACTCTCATCTGGAGTGCACTGAGTCTGTCTGTGTAGGGATCAAATCCCCTCTGGAGATTGAATCTCATCTGGAGTGATGAGGTGGGGGTTGAGGCCCCCTGAGGTCACTGAGTCTGTCTTTGTGTTGTGTCTGTGATCGGAGGAAGGATCCCCTTGGATGAAGTTAAACACCTCTGGAGTTGCTGAGCCTGTCTTTTGTTTGTTTGTTTGTGTGTTTTTGTTGAGGACGCTTGACATTTTCCACAGTCTGGCTTTTCTGGACACCTAGGTCTTCTTTTTTTCCTTGCCCTCCTTATCAGTGGTCTCTGGGTGAAAACCAGCATCCGCCCATTTTATTTTCCCTTAAAGGATTTAGTTACGTGGCCTGGGTCTAGATTCAGGCTATTAGGGTGCTAACTCTGGGCACAACCTTATGGCATCTGTGTCACCACTAACCATTACAGGTTGCTCCTGGGAGGTTGGAAACAGACCATAAGATAAGGCCCTAGAATCTGCAGTCAGAGAGTTCTTGCAATGACTAGTCTTAAGAACTTAATCAAATTTGGAGTCTCAGCCTCCTCCCATGGTCTTAATGAAAGCTCCATATCCCACCTCCACCTCTGGAAGCTCTCCTCTGGCTTCTGGTTTTGGAGAGTCCATGCTTCACCTCTGGGAGCTCTCCTCTGGTTTGTGGGCACCTGGAGTGATTCCAGGTTGGCCCCTGGGTCAGTCATTTGGCTGACAATCTGGAAGCCTGTTCGGTCTCCTGTCAAGAATGTGTTGAGTATTTTAGTTGCCTACTGAGTCAGTTATGGGTACAGGAGACCTGTAATTTATTCTGTATACTGTCCTGCCGGGGTTATGTGCCCCAGCAGGGGAACTGTTGTCTGTGTGACCCTTATATTCATAATCCTTGGGAAGAGGCCATGAGGGCAAGGTCAGATCACCTCTTTCCCTTCTTTTTCCTCTCATTACCTCCTCTGTTGTCAGCAAGTCGAGGTTAAGTTCAGGCTGGACCTGAGCAGAAACTGGACCTTATGTAAAATTGAAAACTTGAAAACCTTTTGCCAGGGACTTAAGTCTCAACCCCAGCAATGGGAGCCCCAGCCCCGAGCCTGCTCCAGGCTTTTGACTCTTGCCTCCCTGGCTTGCCTTGTGCTGGCTCAGGGACTAAGTACTCAGGCTGTGTGGGACTTGACTAAATCTTATAACAATATTGACGCCCGCAGTCAGGCTTTGCACCCTTCTCTGGCCTGCTGTCAATGGGACACCTGCTTTACCACCATGGGGAGTGCCCCAAGGATCCCTGGAGACTCACCCGTTGGGTGTATTTTAACTAATTAGAAACACTTTAAATTGGTTGGGTTATGCCCCAGAAACTCCATCTTTTTTTTAATTTTTGGTTTATTGCCGTAACATTGGTTTATAACATTGTATAAATTTCAGGTGTACATCATTATACTTCTATTTCTGCATAGATTACATCATGTTCACCACCCAAATA